GAGAAAATTATCATTTTGTCGTTGGTTTGAACTAACAAAAATTTTCACCTCGCTTATTTATTGGTATCAACAAACAAAGCGAGTATGATTTGGACATTGACTTCAACGAGGCGATAGTAATAACCATTATGTAACTCCTTTCCATTCTACTCATCTATTAACCTCTATAAAGCATAAACTGTTCAATTCTAATGTATTCTTATTCTATTGAATTTAATTTATTATCTGATATATTTATATAGTTGGATAAAACAAAATAGGAAATACAAATTACTCATTTTGTAAACAAACACTTTTTCTCGTCTTTTCTCCATATTAATCCGCTTGTATTCTCTTTAACCATGGAAAGACATCATCTGGCACTAGAAGGTCTCAATATTATTGTGAAAATGAATCATCAAGATCATCGGCAAGTGGATATGGCAGAACTAGTTGGCACTCCTCAGAGAGATGTCTCCCGGGCGTTAGCCCGATCCCGAGAGACTGGAAGTGCCAATAAGAGGCCTGGAAGTGGATCTCAACATATTATGATGCTAAGGGAGGACAGAAATAAGGGGTATTCAAGATTTCAATTAATTATGGTTTTTAGTTGAGATAAAAAAATCAGCGTCACGAGCAGGATTCGAACCCACGACCTTCGGCTAAATACGCCGCTGTTCTACCACTTGACCTATCATGACTTCGATTCACTCGAACACCAACGTCCCATCTCAACCCCACCTTTTGAATTTTCCCTCCTTTTTGTCAAGCGGACCACGAAAACTAGTGAATTTAATAAGTTAAAATTTAATGAAGTATATCTTCACTAAAGCTCTCCGTGGCCATTTCATTTGTCGCCGAGAATAAAATAAATTGCACGACATTTGAAAAATGGCAAAAATGAGGGAAAACTCAAAAGGTGGGATTGAGATGGAGGATCGATGTCACGATAGCTCAAGTGGTAGAGCAGCGGCGTTTCTAGCCGAAGATAGTGGGTTCGAATCCCGCTCGTGCCATTGACTTTTTTATCTCAACTAAAAACCTTAATTAATTGTAATATATTAATTGGTCAAGCGGACCACGAAATTAGTAAATTTAATTCCGCAGGATGTTATCGAATATCTTTGGCAAGAAATGCAAAAGCTTTTAGTTAATTTTGTCCATAAGTGTGCATCGATATTTCCGTTATATAGAAATATGGTTTCCATCAGCAGACACCAGTCAATAGTTCACACGAGTATGGAGTAGTCAGTGGTTCAGTAAAGTTGTGACACGGAACAATTGATCACGAAGATGAATAGGCTAGACCTTTATTCGATTTTTCATTAGACCCTCCTTTGTGGATTTTAAGCAGTTATGAAACCTTAGGGGTATTCACGATGTTTGTAAGATGTTTACCTTCCTTTCATGAATTTTTTCAATTTTTTTCACAACTTTACTACGAGCATTTTAATATATCAATAAGACGCTCAGCGGGGACCATTCACCCGTGAAACTGCGGTAACGTTAATGTTATACATACAGTGGCTTCATGAAAGAGGATTTTCGATGTTATCGTTCTACCGTGGATTTTCTGTTCGACCTTTCTTTTAAAATGTGTCGATCTTCCCATCCAACCAATTTATAACGGCCCTCTTTCTTTCGATAGGGAAGAAAAATTAGTTGGAAATCCGACAAAAGCTCCGTAAATTATTACGCTTTCAAAATAGTCACCCCTCTTTCGGGCATGAGGCCAATACTCGCAATTTTTCCATTTGAAACTGATCTAGTAAAATATGGTTTGTCTAATTGGATTTTTTTAAATTTGTGGTAAAAATTGTAAATTGTAGTACATTGCAACTACCTTCAAGTAGGCAACATATAACAGTAAGCAAGGTAATAGGAGTATTCACGATCTTTGTGCTAAAACTGTTAACTCTGTTAGGTCCTGTTAGATCGAAAAAAATGATGACGGAATTTTTTTATTTTTATGTTTTTAATTTAAATCTTTAACAAATACATTGCTCTGTTGTGCTAATCTTGTGTAAATCAGCATTTACATATTATCATTTATCAATTCTGACATGGTTGTACTATGGCACGTGAAGTATGGCTGAGTCCTTAACAAAAGTAAATACTGACATAATTTAAATAAATAAGAAAATGTAACAGCATTATAACAGCATAATAATAACAATTAATAATTCTTCAATCAGAGATTATAGGGGTATTCACGATCTTTGTGTTAACCCTGTTAAGTCTGTTAGGTCCTGTTAGATCGAGAAAAATGATGACGTAGCCTTTTCAGAATCGGCCAGTTAACATTGCTCGATCTAACAGGCGAGGGCCAATGTAATATGTTCAGTCGAAAATCGAAAACTGTAGTCACATTGGTGTCCGTTAGGGCGTAGGTAACCAACATGGCAGCCATGAATTTAACAGCTGTTTTTTCCCGTATTTATATTCTTAAATACGCATTAATTAAATCAGACCAACTCAGTTCTTTGTTAATTTTTGACCTGTTGTTATACTCTCATTCATAAAAGATACATCAGGTATGCGGCTATTGCCATCGAAGTTCCCTACGAAACTTTGCGAGACGCTGTTAGACGTTTTCGAGGAACTGGGTCCTACCATAGATGACCCGGTTCTGGACACCCTAGGTTAACTGAACCACAGGATGACCGTTTTTTGACTTTGAGAATTTTGCGAAACCGGCACCTTACTCTTGTGTAAGTGATTTATCAACTCCAGGAATTTTTTTTTGGCCTTGTGTTTTTACATCTGCCATAACAATGGTGAATAGTGTGGGAGAGGCATACTACCCTCCAATCTTCTTGATTAAATAACTAAACCATTAGCTACAATGAAATTGTATATCCCATTCTGATAAGGGGGTGGTTTACTTTACTCAAAATTATACTGCTTTTAGTAGGTAAGAACAAGCCGCACTGTAAAATCGCAGAATACAATTGATCTCTGAATTTTGTGGTTAGAGGGCAGGATAAAAAGATGTGGTCCTGGTACGCCAAAGAGCTTAATACCAGTACCGATAAAAAGATCGGTATTATCCGCAAACTGGGCTATCTTTAATACCGATCTTATATAAATGATATGGCAGACGGTTGTGGTTGGCAGATGGAGGTGAAAAGTTTTCTTGGCCCTTTGACCCTACTGAACCATGGTTTGTGTGGGATTAATGGCTGGATACTCGCATATACTTTTCCTTTTACTGTCTTGGATGAGATGTACTCCTTTTGCCATTTCTTGTTAATGTAAGTATTGAGGTGTGCCACTATGTCGGGATCTGTTACCCATGATTTTACTAAACTCCAGGAAGTTCGAGATGTCCAAATTTCTGAACGCATTGCTCGAAGAAGATTAAATCAGTATGGACTGATGGCTCTTGGCCCCGTAAGAAGACCAGGATTGACAAGAACACACTGATTTGCACGTCTCGCATTTGCTCGAGAACACAGCCATTGGTCGTTGGACGACTGGTTTTCTGCACTTTTTACAGAAAAGTGTAGATTTGCTCTACGATCTACAGATGTGCGTGAAAGACTGTGGAGAAGGCGAAATGAAAGCTACGAAGACTGTAATTTTTTCCAGAGTCAACCTTTTCAACGTAGCTCAGTGATGGTGTGGGTGGGAATTTCAATGGAGAATCGCACAAAGTCGGTTGTGGTTCGTGGAGGGTGTTTGACGGCCATTCGCTATGTGAATGAAATTTTGGAAGAGCCTATTCTCGATGAAATCAGCGATAATCCTATTCTATTGGACGATAATGCCCGTCCACAAGCCTGGCCAGCCCGTTCTCCAGACTTGAACCCATCGAACATTTAAGAGATAACCTCAAAAGAGTACGTCCATCACTTCCTTATAACTCCACGATCTTGAAAGGTGGTTCTTCTTGATGAATCGGCTAACCTCCAGCAAAGAAACATTTCCAGACTGGTAGAAAGTATGCCGAGGCGTTTCGAGATGTAATTAAGGTAAGATGAGGAAATTCGCGATAATGAAACGTTAATTAAAAATCCAAAACAAAATTAAAACAAATTTTATCTGTCCGTCTTTTTATTATTAATTTTTTTAATTTTTAATTTTCCTTAGCAATTTACATTTTTTTATTTTGTTACACACACTCAATTATTAAACGTTAAAAATCGTGAACATTTAATTAATATATAAAAATATATATACAAATCAAATTATATTACAAGTGGGTGGGATTTTTTGCCTGTCAGTGTAATTTAATTATTTAAAAAATTGGTGGTACTTTTCTACTCGCGTTTCTGCTTTCCGCCATCTTCAGTGAGTAAATTTTGCAGGTGCAGGTTCAGCATGTGTTCCCTCCTCGCAAATCAACATCCACCATCATTATTTACACTAAATTCACTAATTTCATGGTCCGCTTGACCAATTAATACATTACAATTAATTAAGGTTTTTAGTTGAGATGAAGAAAGGTTAATGGCACGAGCGGGATTCGAACCCACGATCTTTGGCTAGATACGCCGCTGCTCTACCACTTGAGCTAGCGTGACCTCGATCCACTCGGACATCAACTTCCTACCTCAACCGCACTTTTTTAATTTTCCCTCCTTTTTGCCATTTTTCAAATGTCGTGTAATCGGATTGTATTCTCGACGACAAATGAAATGGCCACGGAGAGCTTTAGCGAAGTGTACTTCATTTTAATCATTAAATTCACAAATTTCGTGGTCCGCTTGACCAATTAATACATTACAATTAATTAATAAAGCAGCGGCGTATCTAGCCGAAGATCGTGGGTTCGAATCTCGCTCGTGCCATTAACTTTTTTTCATCTCAACTAAAAACCTTAATTAATTGTAATTATTTACACTGCCACTTCTATGTTTTTTCTATCTCTTCGGATAGAACACTTCTGCATACATGTTGCAACTTTTTCAGTTTTTACGGCTATTCTAAATGTTCACTTTATTGACATTTCTTATTGGAGAACTAAGCGGTTCTGAACAGATTTCTGCCAAGGAAAACGATACAATAATAACACGAACTATAAAGCAAAATTTTTATTCAAAGGTGAGTAAAAAAATGGGTATTTACATCTGTACAAAATGAGAATAGGCAATAACCCTATTCAACAGTGGGTTTTGTACATATTTCACTCCAAGTGCCTGGTTTGCAGATGTCTGAAGGGCCGGCTGGAGTAGGTGTAGGGCATATTTTCCATATCGACGTCGTACATAATTGTCTTCTTCGTTTTAACGAATTTCGTCCCTTGGCCCGAAGGAGTGGCACGCCAGTAAACCGTCTCCAAGGCTTTGCTGCCGACAGTGTAACGCCTGCTTTCGCCGAACAACATCTGAAATTTGCACAAAACAATCACTACTATTTCTTGACTAAATACAAAATAAATATTTTTTTCTAAGCTATTACCTTAAGTCGAGTTTTGGGGCGTTGGCAGAACTTGGAGACGAAGGCAGGGAGGTGATTGATGCCTTCGATCCGCCTTTCTCGTTTAAATACAAAAACATTACGTCAAGTGATCCTAGATTTATCAGTATCACGCGTCGGGGAGAAGAGAAGAAGGCTCCTTTCTCTACGTAAGCGCGATAATTACAGAAAAAGATTTAGCATTGACGCAATATGATTTTACCTGAATCAGAGATTTTAGAGTAAACAGGATAATGATTGAAAATACAAATAAATATATAATAGCAAATACGAAATAAATTTTCATTGGAAAACGAATATTGACTAAACAAATTTAAGTCTTGACAAACGTTATCCCATTTTTTTATGACATGTAGCAGTAAAAAATGTGTTTACAAAATAAAAATTTTATGTAGTATAATTTATTTATTATACCATCCTTAACGATTCCCAAAAAATATTTTTTTTCTGTATGTTTTATTTGTATTATATACAGGGTGTCCAAGCTAATGTGTCCACCCCATTTTTTTCTTCTTTGCGGTTCTAAAAAGGAAAAATTATGAATTGAGACTCCTCTTCAGTTTTCATGTAGTTTGATCATGTAAGGTCGATTTATTTATTTTTTCGACCTCGATTCGACATAAGTCGAATTCAGATTCTTAATTTTAAATGAGAACCCCCATTTTTCACATTTTTCTTCGAAACTAGATTTTTTGGTGAGAAAAATAAGCACTGAATTATTAAAATCGGTCCAATGGAACCGGAGATGAGATGTTTTTGGAAATAACCGGAATGCTGTTCTAGTGCGTTAAATTGAAACCACATTAGTTTGCCTTCTACTGCAAATATTTTAGATTCTTCTTTTAGATTAGTGTTTACAGTGGGGATTTGAAACCCATCACTAGTCGTGAGGAACTGAAGAAAAGAGTTGTAGAGGCTTCTCATTCTCTTGATCGTGAAGCGACAGGCCGAGCTGTGTGCGATGAATGGTTGAATCGGCGGCGGACATATTTTAACAGGATGGACATTTCGAACAGTGTTGTAATAATTTCATAGGTTTTTTCTTCTTTTTTATAAGAAATGGAAGTTGAAGTTTTAAGAAATTGAAATTTGAGTTTTTAGTTTTAACCCAGATAAGAAAGGACTTGTCCCAACAAGAGTCTGGAACCATTTTTAACCTTTTGATTCCCAGATAGCAATAGTTATGATTAATTTCAATGAATTAAGGCTATGGTTGATATAAAAAAGTCAGTGTCACTAGCGGGATTTGAACCCACGACCTTCGGCTAAATACGCTTTCTACTCAACATTTCTTTCGCTTTATATATTGTGATGAAACATTGAGAACGAAAGAGAGTAAAAATGTCATTTTGGTGCATTTTTGATGATAATGGCCCAACGGTATGATAATAGAGACATCGAATAACACCAGCCCACTTCATCTAAAAGTTTGACTATGACTGATTGATGATTACGTATAAGCTCTTCCTTATAATGTGGTTAAAGGTTTGTAAAGTTAGACGTCTTGCCGTTTAAGTACGATTTAATTTTGTCTAATTATTAAGGCTTTAAAAAAGAGCATCCATCGCGTTATTGGCAAGTATCAAATGCATTTGTCTAAATTATAATAGGTATGTTATTTTTTTAATTGATTTTGTATTTTGACTGATTTATGGAATATTTTATGGGATTGAATTTTACTCGAAAAAGAATAAATATCTTTTTGGACATAAGAAGCATTGTTTCATAAAAAATTTTCAAGAATTAGTAGAAAAAAAATTAATAATTAGCTTCACTAATTTCGTGGTCCGCTAGACCAATTAATATATTACAATTAATTAAGGTTTTTAGTTTAGATGAAAATGTCAATGGCACGAGCGGGATTCGAACCCACGATCTTCGGCTAGATACGCCGCTGCTCTACCACGTGAGCTTTCTATTACGTTCCATTTAACGAAGGTGGCTGGCTAATCCTTACATAAGCCTTTTTAAATAAAACCTTTAAATCTACACTGATGGACCACCGTTAAATTTTTATGTATTTAGGTTTATTCTATTTGGCACACTAAAAATAGGTTTGGTTGTAAAAATAATACAAATAAAAAGAAAATTATTTTTACCTAATTATTAAAAAAAATAAAAAATAAAAAATGTAAAAAAAAATAATTAAGGTTTAGGTTGAGATAAAAAATGAGTGTCTCATTTTTCGATCCACTCGGACACCAACTTCCCATCTCAACCGCACGTTTTGAATTTTCCCTCCTTTTTGCCATTTTTCAAATGTCGTGTAATCGGATTGGATTCTCGGAGAGCTTTTAGCGAAGTATACTTCATTTTATTTCATTAAATTCACTAATTTCGTGGTCCGCTAGACCGATTAATATATTACAATTAAATAAGGTTTTTAGTTGAGATAAAAAAGTCAGTGTCACGAGCGGGATTTAGCCGAAGGTCGTGGGTTCCAATCCCGCTCGTGACACTGTCTTTTTTATTTCAACCAAAGCCTTAATTAATTGAAAAGAATTTATTTGGCCAATCGGACCACGAAACCTAATAGATGTTATGATTAATTGTTAACTCCGCTGTGGCTGGTCCCAACCCCGGGTGAGAAAGGAGGTAGGATTTGAACTGCAACCAAGGTATCTCTCTGAATGAGTCTTGGGTAAGATAAGATATTCTTCGAAGAGAAAAAACTATACAAAATACGAAATTTATGAGATTTGGCAGGAAATTTAGTAAGCTTTGAGACTTTTCTCTCTACTTTGGCTGATTTTACACTCCTCTTCAAAATATTTGCTGTAGAAGGCAAAATAAAGTGGTTTTGACGTAACGCACTGGTACAGTATTCTGGCTATGTTCAAAAAATCATATCTCGGGTTCTATTAGACCGATCTTTACTACTCAATGCTAATTTTTCTCACCAAAAATCTAGTTTGAAAAATGGGGGTTCTCATTTATAATTAAGAATTTGAATTCGACTTATGGCGCATCGAGGTCGAAAAAAATAAAATGACCTTACACGAACAAACTATATGAAAAATGAAGGGGAGTCTCAATTCATACTTTTTTCCTTTTTAGAACCGAAAAAACAACAACTAATTTTTGTTAAATATTGATTATTGTCAGGATGATAATGAGTGATTTGTAAAATAAAAAGAGGTTTATAGTTCAATAAAAAATAAAAAACTCTCGTGTTGATACATTATGTTGACACTGATATAACAAAAAGAGTTGATTTCAATAGTCCGACTTACAACTGGACCTTTCAAGTTTGCTTAGTGAGAAAAAAATATAATCTTTCCCTGGATAAGGAATCTTTAATTTCTTTGTATACAATTATAATTTTTTAATTTTCTTCGGTAGTAATGGTGGGATTGAGTATATATGCTACTTTTGACATGCAGAAGTAATTTTCTTAATTTACTAAATTTTGAAATGATTGTTCAGCCGGATATAGCATATTGTGTTACATACGTATGCAAATTATTTGTGATCACAAGAGACTTTATTAGCCTAGGTGTACTAAATCTGTTGGGCGTATCGTTGTAACTTGATTTCGGATTTGTATTCAACTTGGAGGAAATAATTTAATATTAGTATAACTCAAAATTGTAAATTTTTTTCATACTGTACATAACAATAACTAAAGCTTAAAAAAAAGTATTGTCCTTTATGTGGTGTTTAGTGACCGTTAGACAATGATTATTTGGAGATCGTGAGAAGCGGTCTAGTGTGACGTAGGTTTTAGAAAAACATTTTCTTTATCATCCCGATAATCTTTATTGAGATCATCTTCAGGGCTCAAAGTGTTTCTTTCTCTCAACACGACACCCAATAATGACACATCTACACAGAAAACAAATACTTTGTGCCCTGAAGATGATCTTGATCAAGATCGAAACGTTGGCACGATAAAGAAAATGTTTTTCTAAAATCTACGTCACACCAGACCGCACCTCACTATTTCCAAATAAGTATTGTCCTTCCTTCGATCATGGTTAGTGTTGTTGCCAAAATAAGGTGGACGTAAACCTAAAAATTGATAAGAATCCTCTGTTACGTTTAAATTTCAGCATTCTAGTTCTTTGCTAGTCATGGCTTGTAATTCAGGTAGATTATTAGCCCTGTATGTTAAGAAACCATCTTAACTCAATCAAATTCAGGATCTCTAGAACCACTGGTTTGTGAGGAACTTTAAAAATTGTCAAAATCCTCAGAAGTTGTTGCAGCTAGTATGTTCCTGTTTGTCTTCATGATAAACATAATTTACTTTAGATAGGAGTAGTGATATTTGGGCACCCCATAAACACTTATGCTCTGAAGTAACAAGAATGTTTTTAGGACAATGATATCCCCTCTATGAACCAAGCTTTTTTTTAATACTCGAAGCGCAGGAATTTTTGGGAAACGGAAATCTGGAAGAGATAGAGACTTTGTCTTAACTTTTATATGAAGCGAGATAGAAAATGAAAATGGAATAGACCAGGCAGTTTCAATGCCAATGTAAAGTTTGTGGTAACCGATGGTAAGGCAAGTAATTTTTTGTCAAAAAATTGCTGAAATTTTCAAGTATTTCACATTGACTGGTGAGTATACTTATTGGGCACCAAAACAGACCACTGAGGGAAAGACCTTTTATTGTATGAATTTTGACATCGAATGGATCATTATTTACTAATAATAAACTCAAAACTGAGTCCATTTAAACTCAATTTTGCCGTGGCTTTTATTTGTATGATGAGATTATTTTTAAGATGAGATACAAAAGAAAGACGGGTATGAAGACAATTCTATATATAGAAAACCCACAACTACAGACACTATGATACCAGCGGATTCTTCCCACCCATGGTCCCAAAAGGCTGCTGGTTTCNATTGAACACCACACTCACTCCATCATTTATCATTTCTATTAATTAATAAATTCCATTAGTCAAAATATGCGAAAAATTATATTCTTCTGCAACATAAACGGGTTTTCTGCGATAATCACAATGTCATGGGAGTAGACTAATATTTTTATTCTCGTTCCACCAGAAAGAAAAACGAGACCATTAGGTCATTTGGTCATGCATTAGCACAGCCCTGGCTCACACCTGCATCTACATTGGAAATGTCTCCCAGACTCTGAACTGCTAAACTGCAAATTGTGAAATTTTGGAAATTGAGTCCAAACAAGAAATGCGTCTAGGGTTAGCAACACCATTTATGTCTCCTTGTTTAACAATGAAACTATGATTGAAAGAA